ACATGAGAAAGAAGTGAAATCATTTTTGTGCATGTATAACTCCAAGTAAAAACAAGGATATACTCTAAAGCTCAAGCTCAAAAAGATTATCATGCTATTGTGACAAATATATGTGCCTACTAGCATATATAATAACATTTAGGGCATATTGCTAGAATAACACAATCAATAAAATATGTAAGCATAGCAACTAAATCTCAAAAAATTCCCTAATTATCATGTATATAGCATTTAGAGCACAAAGAGGGATAGAAGTAACCGAATTTGAATTCTTTCAATTTAGAATATGGCTCCTTGAGATTATCATGAATATCCTTGTACTTTATCATGCTTGCATCCCTTCTTAGATGTTGGATGTTTTCATGCTTTCCAAGTCTCAAGTTGAATAAACTTATTTCATTTGAATACATTCTTAAGGTAGTTATAATCCTATAATTCAAAATACTTTTGGTATCCACTTTGGATCCATAAAGGTTAGTCATTGATCATCAATTCATTATTCTCTCACAAAGATCAATAATACCACACACAAATTGAGCATAATAAGTTAATAATCAATTTAGCATTAAGCACAAAGTCAATAACATTTCCACAGTTTCTTTTTCATAAACCCGTAATCTTGTAATTAAAACTGGGAATTCATCAATTAAAAAATTCTGAATTTTGGATATGTTATAGTACACATCTCAAGCTTTCTAATAAGATATAGATCATGTCAATTGGAGTTCTATAGCTCAAGATATGATCAGTTAAATTTGCTGCATTAAAACAGAGTATTTAACAAAATAATTATAATCACGAATTTATTGGGAACAGTGTACATATCCAAAATTCTAAAAATTTCCAGTAATAAACTTGATTGAGTTATCTTTGTAATGTCACTGGTTTCATGCTCAAAGAATTTGTATAACTCAAGTTATGCTCATTTAAGTAAATTAGTCCATAACAGAGTTTATGACAAAATAACTATGTTCACGAGATTTATGGAAGCATTATACTTGACTAAAAATTGTGAAAATTTCCAGAATTAAAGTTTGTCAAGTTATCTTTGAATGGCCACCGGTTTCACTTAAAAACAATTTCTGCAACTCAAGATATGCGTAAAACAATTCAGCTGTATCAGAAATCAACATATAAGCGAACAACAATATATATAATCATTTTCTATTCATAATTTTCAACATTTAAACCAAGAACATATGAATTTATCTATTACCTAAGGTAAATTAATCATTCATTCAATTGAATTCATCGTTAAAAAACTGGTATAAATAGTTATATCTATAACTAATAAAAATCTTATATATTTTATAGATATTTTCAAATCTACGTAAAATTAAAAAATACAAATCATTTTTTTAAAAAAACAATTGAAATTATAAAAAAATATATTAATTTAATTTAAAAAAAAAACAAATTAAAAATAACATAAATCATTAAAAAAAATTAATTAAAAGGTTAAAGTATTCTTAAAAGATATACTTTCATATATAAAAGTAAATTACATTGTTGTATATAAAAAAAAGTAAATTACATTGATTACCAAAAAAAAAGTGAATTACTTTAACCATTTAATCGATTAGCTTTTTTTTTTTTACCAAATATGTTAAATTTTATAAACCTTGTTTAAACTAATAATTAATACACAGCGACATAAGACAAACACACCCTTAACCACACACTACTGAGGCTCGTTTGTTTTATTTTTTTTTAAAGAAAAAATACTCTTAAATTAAAAAATATATTTGAGAAATTCGATAATAATTAGATAAGTTAAGAAAAACATAAAGAAACAATTTTAATGCTTTTGAAGGTGATTTTAACGTATTAGAAACTAGAAATAGTAACTTCTTCAAAATATTAAAAAAAATCATAAAAACACTTTTGTTTTAAAGTTTATCCAAACTCACTCTTAGGGGGCATTTGGTATAGGAGAAATTTTTTTTTATTCCGAAAAAAATGTTTGCAGAAAAAAAATGGCAAAATTTTTTTACGAGAAAAATTGCGAAAAGATGTTTGGTAGGCAAAAAATTTTGACAGGAAAGTTGGATTAATTTTACTAACTATGTTTGGTTCATTATAAAAAAAATGATAGGAATCTTTATCAAAATTACCAAATTACCCATAAATTTTGAATATTGTTGATTTTCCTTGTGTCACCCAAAGTTATAATTTTACCTGTGATTAACTTTTCTCTCACCCCTTTGCTGATATCTAGGGCTGAGGGTGTTTTTGTCTCAAAAAAAAGTTTCCATTTTCCCCCGCGTCGCCAATTCCTCTTTTCGTGTTTTCAATGGCAAAGTGTCTCAACGTAAAATGGTGGAAAAGAAATTGACTGCAAAATTCATTTTCAACCTTTACTTCATTTCTTCCCCCTACCAAACACAGCAAATTCGTTTTCCATACCACACTTTCCATTGCAATTTTTTTTTTGCCACTTATCAAACACCCCCTTAGTTAATCTACGTAAAATTGTTTTTACCACAAAAAAAATAATCTACGTAAATTTGTTATTAATATTGCTTAGTAATTAGTCACACCATGTAGAAGCTATCTCACTTTGTTTATACTATGTATCTGTGAAGCTTGATCAAGGCAAAGACAGAAAAGTTCATTTTCCTTCAAACAGTCTTTCTACATAGCACTAGGAATTTCGTTCCCCACTGCACTCCACCAATTTTCTCTGATTTTTCAAGCTTCTCCAATGGCTAATCCTCTGTAAAACCCTTCACACTCTTATAAAGTATTTGCAAAGAGTGGTGAAAAAAATCCCTTAAAATTCTTTTCCTGTAAATAAGCGAACTTGTTAAATCAATTTTTCTTTCCTGTCTTTTTAAACTCCCAAATAAACAAGAGAACTTGTTTTCCTTTCCCACAATCCATTTCTATTTCTTTCATTACCGGTCATCAAAACGGCGTTAATGTGGTGACTACTATTCTCATTTGATAGTCACAAGGGCATTACTTGCCGAAATAGAAAATACTCGCATTTAAATTTGAAAATATAGGATATCTATCCATCAGGGGTATTAGTAGCTCAAGTGGTCCAGCCAGGCTGCTAGAGTTTCAGACAATAGGGGTATTAGTAGCCATTCTTGTCAGATTGAAGGATAATCACTAATTACATGTACCCAGCAAATAAGTCATAATACAGTACATTCCATTTAAACAATCCTGAAAAGAAAAGGAGGTCATAAACTCATAACTATAATACCAGACAAGTAATTGATCACCACCTCGTTTCAGATCGAAGAATAAACCTCCACCATCTGACATAAATAAAGTGGTTCAAAGAACGTTTTGCTAAATTTTTAAAGGGATAAATAAATCTCATGTTGTAGGAATAGCCTTCTCTCATGTTAGTGAGAGCTCGATTTTTGTGTTAATATTTTCTTTCATTTTCCTTTTTTATTTAAACTAGTGGGCCCACTTGATTGTATGTGTAGGAGAAAAGCTCATCTCATCTTGCATAAGAAAATGCAACCCCATTTTTAAAACTCATAAACTCCGGTAAGACTTAAAAGTTTGGCTTTTTGACCACTATAGTCTTTTTTTTAATAATTAATTACCAAATTGATTTTATTTATAAACTATTTCAAAAATTTAACCTCTTCAGAAAACATAACATCAATCTGTCCTTGTTTGACTGTTGACCATAAAGCCTACCCGATACATCCCTCCCTATCCGGGTATATTTTAAAAAAAATTACCTACCCGAGTACACCCCTCCCTACCCGGGTATATTTCTTGAATGTGAAAAAAGTTTGAATTATTTACCCGGGTAGGGGAGGGGGTGTACCCGGATAAATAATCATACTCTTACCGGTTGCTTGTAGGGTTGATTGGGTTTAACTTCCTTGGACTTTCATCAACGTCGGAGTGTGGTCTCCAACTTGAAACGGCATTGCGAGAGAGATGAAGGGAAAATGCAGCGAATAGAAGGATGGCGAAGAAGGAGAGAAGGAAGGTGGTGCGGGGTCTCCGCCTCATGATTTCCCTGTGAAAAATGATTAAAAAACACCAAAATATTGCGTGACAATGTTAAATTATTAATATTTGAATTGGAAACGAAGGGACAGAAAATGTTGTGGTGGAGAAAATAAAAGGAAATAATTGGAGAATAATTATGGTTTTTTTCCTTACTAAGGATCATATTCTACACTAAAGTGTTTGTCAAATAATGTTTGCGAGAATTTCTTGTTCGTTACAGATATAGAAATTCATAAATAGAAGCTACAGTAGTGGGAGAGGGAGACATGCCTTACAATAATCATACCCAAGCAACTGCAACCTCTCTCTAACGCACCAACACCAGCTTCTCCAACCTTCTCTTTCTCTAAGGCACTTCCACGTACAAGCTTCTCAGTCTCAGACCACTTCCACGTCGAAGGCTCAAAAGCAATGAAAGGGTATGATTATTTACCTGAGTACACCCCTCCCTACCCTTCTTACCCGAGTAAATAATTCAAAAAAAATTCAGATTCAAGAAATATACTCGAGTAGGTAAAAAATTTCAAAATATACCCAAGTAAAAAAAGGTGTACCCAGGTAGACTTCATGGTCAACGGTCAAACAGAGACAATTTGATATTATGTTTTCTGAAGAGGTTAAATTTTTAAAATAATTTATAAATAGGATCAATTTAGTAATTAATTATTAAAAAAAGGCTATAGTGGTCAAAAAGCCCTTAAAGTCCCCTTCTTTACAAGTTCTAAGTAAACTGGTGAGTATCATAGCATGGAAACCTATCGGTTTAGAGGCCATTCCCTCAAGTACAACAAATTGGTTAAACTACTGATGAAAAACTTGTACTTCGTTGGTCTCCAAGGGGAGGGCTTACTTCTCATTTCTCAAGGTTATTACTCATAAATTTACAAAAGGATATGATTGAGCAATGGAAAAACACGTTTCACAACGTCAAAAATCAAGGAAGGCAAACCTTGTTTGCCAGCATGAGACCAATATTTCATGAGCCTATTGACAGTGACAGACAACCACAATGATAAGAATTCAAAAGCAATGGCATAACAGGCAAAATGAATATATTCTAAGAAATTGATTGGTGATGCTACATTGGGATGTAGATGGCGAGGTGTTACACATATAGGAAGAGAGTATGAAATTACTGACACGCATAAAATGCAAAATATCTTATATGACTCTCACCATAAAACATCTTCATTGAAGATCGATTTTTTCTATCTCACAAACAAGAACGTTAGCAGGTAGATGGAACGGTAGCTAATTTATTGAGTTTTACATGCCCATTTTGATGGTCAAGCCCTTCCTTTCCAACCCCAGATATATAAACCTGCATCTCACACTGAGCAACGAGTTCAAAAATGCACGTGTCTCCAAAATTGATGTCATTATCACGTACAAAGGCCATCCATCCCCCACAAAAGGTGTGAACTGTTCTGCCTTTTGCATCTGGGACAGAATTCACAGTCCAACATTCACCTCTTGAATTACGAAGCATAACTTCTGTTTTGTAAGTTGGGAGATGTGCAGCGGAGAACTGGTATGGGATTTTCTACAATATAGCAGGCATTCAATAATTTTAGCATTGATATCAAATAATCTACAAAGAAAATGTAAACACAGACACAAAATTGCTGTTTATTACTCACCAGAGTGTATGATCCACTGACATTGAACTTTTTCATGATTTTCACAAAACTAGGGAAAGGGGAAGTAAAAGCTTGAGCTACCCTTTGTTCATCGAGTGCAAACAACATTCTCAAACCAGCTTTAGCCTGTGAGCTTAGTTCATCCTCAACACGATGTCTCTTCTGAACAGCTGTCTTCGTTTACAGTTCAAAATGTTACATAAGTTATAATTTGGAAGGTAGAAACTTTAATAGAAGGAAAGTATTCAACATTTATCCGGGTTTTTTTTTTTCACTAGTAAAGTGCGCAATTTCAATTTTCAAGGAGATGAGTTATATTCTCTTTTTTCTGCAAAAAAAGTACTTCATAGAAATTCGTTGCAGAGACTAATGATATAAATCTATATTGAATTAGAATTTTGATGGGTCACCTATTGGGCAAATAGAGAAAAAACCTTACCCAACTTTTTATGGGCAGCTTTCGACTGCGGGCAAAGCCCCATCTTTTTAGAAGTATTTGAAGCTCTACCAGATTTCAAGTCAATGGATAAAACAGCTTCTTGACCAATCTTTGACCACTTTTTCTCTGATAGATCAACTTTTCTTATGCATTTTGAGCTGACTTTGGGACTCATCGGCATATATCGGGAAGTCTTATGGCAAGCGACAGCATGTCCTGAGCTAGGTCTACTAAAAGCAAGTTTTCCAACCTGGCAGTCTAGCTCATCTTTTCCAGCCCCAGCAATGCGAACAAGTAATTCACATTCATGCACAAGTTCAAAAATGCAGATGTCTCCAACCTTTATGTTATTGCCACGTACAAAAGCCATCCATCCTCCGCAGAGAGTATGACTTGTATGCACTCTAGTTGTTGGCACAGAATTTACAGTCCAATGTTCTCCTTTCAAATTATGAAGAATAATCTTTATCTTGCAGCTTGGAAGATGTGCCATCGAAAATTGATATGGTATATTCTGCATCATATCATTTTAAAACAGTATCAGCACGAGTTTCATCTGCGTGGCTGTGGGCATGAATGTGTGTGTCAGTGTCCACATATATATATATATATATATATATATATATATATATATATATATAGTCAAGTATTATCGCATTGTTCAATCCAATTTTTTATGGGCAGAAAGCCATGATAACAATATATTTATTGATACCTTTCAGAGAAACACAATATTACAAATGTCCAGAAGTCAATGCTAAATGTCCTAGCACTGGAAAAGGTCTCAAACTTAGACTGATATAGAAATTTGCTAGGTAGATCAGCTGAGAAGTTTATCAAGCAACATTTTCACTAAAACAGAAGTCAATGCAAAATGTCCTAGTAGTAGGAAAGGTCTCAAACTTAGACTGACAGAGAAGTTTGCTAGGTAGATCAGTTGAGAAGTTTATCAAGCAACATTTTCACTAAATACAGAAACATCACTCCAAGTGCAAGAACAAGAATAGTTCGAATGTACCAAGGTTGACATTCACTAATTAAGACTTGTATGGATGGAACTTTATACAAAACCAATTCAACCCAAAAGCATAAAATGTTAGGTGAAGGCACGTTATTGGTTTTCTATTTTATATTATATTTCTCTAACATGCTCGCTCACACAAGAGCCCATCAAACTAGAAGGATGAACAATACATAGGCTCACATACCAGAGATTAAAAAGCTCCATAATGTTTAATTATTTATTAATAGAATGGAGGACAGTGAGTATCAAACTCTAGACTACTTGGTCATAGAGACTCTAATACTATGTAAAGTGTCAATTCAACCCAAAAGTTTAAGACACGTTAATAGTTTTATATTTTATTTTATATTTCTCTAACAAACTTTCATTGAGATCACCATTTCCTGGTAATGTATATACCTGAAGTGCTTTGATCCAAGCCTTTCATCCTCCATATGTGAAGGATGTCGGACTATTATGGCAAAAAATAATATACCTCAATAAGATCATATTGTTAGAATCTTATGATTCACGTTTCGATACGATTAGGCAAGCCTGCGATTCATATCATGAGATGAATAGAAGATAGCCTTGAATCATGCAATCTATGCATGAATTGGTGTTACTCAGTATCACCTATACGAATCGCAGGATTTAATCATTCATTATTTATTTTTTCTTTTTTGCTTTGCTTTCATCAATTCTCATAAAAGAAATTAAAAAGTCAAATAATCTTAAATTATTAAATGAAAAGAAACTAAAAGAGTGCTACTAAATGCATCCTATTTGAGTATTTCATTGCCCTGTTTTTGTTCTTCTAAAACTGGAGTTCGCACAATCACTCACTCACTCACTCACTGTATGCTTCCTATTTTGCTATTTTATTGCTCTTTTTCATTCTTTTTAAAAAGCAGCTTTCCACTGTCACTTGCTCACTCTATATGCACCTTATTTGGCTATATCATATTTTGTTCTTCTGAAACATAGACTTATAATTTTGTTTTATGACAGTTAAAGTTAAGGTATTTAGTCAATTCCCAATTTAAAATTATTATATTGAGCATTATGCATAATTTGTATGATATATTAAGGTTATTTTTCATGTGTCTTTGAATCTTACGATTCATGATTCACAATTCACAAATTAGCTTAGAATTCACGATTTGAATTGCGATTTGATAACCTGGAATCAGATCAATTTCTCAAGTAGATGGAGTAATAATATGTAAGTGACTTAATAAGGGCAGAGAGATAAAACAACATTATTTGGAAATCAAAATAAGAAGCACAAAAGGAAACAACCCACCAGAGTATATGAACCACTGACATTGAAGCTTTTCATGATTCTAACAAAATACGGAAAAGGGGAAGTAAATGACTGGGCTACTTTTTTCTCATCATGTGCTGATGACTTTGACGGCGAAACTCCGCTGAGAATACAATGATCATCTTCCTTCCCACTTCTATACAGGATGGTTGCCTCTGTATTGAATTGAATAATTCAAGCAAGCATGAGTTTAAGATTTTATTAATATACTGTATTCTGGATAGCATTTCCACACATAAAGCTTCAAGCATTAAAGAAGTGTAAGCTATGACATAAATACAAGGATTTGAATGCTAAATATGCTTTTCTAGACAATACCGGTTTACTAGGCAAGATTAAGATCAGTTTTAATATGTATTTTTTGGATACATTAAAATTAGTTATACCTTCATCTTCATTGCTATTTTCCATGTGAAAAGGCACAGGGACATCATTAGCTGAACACACTCTGGAGGTTTCTTCTATTTCTCTGAACATACTAATTGGTTTTACAATCTCATACTGGGAGAGTTCTTTACGAACAATACCCAGCCCAAGCTCGTGGTTCTCAATGGCACTACTTCTCATTTTCTTTGAAACACTTTCAACAACATCCAAAGAAGAATTCTCCTTACTATCTCTTTTCTGTCCTTTGACATTATCAAAGTTGCATGAATTTTGACTGCATTCAGAATGAAATGCTGCTTCTTTCTCACAAGCATTCTTGTCGAATACTTGCACAGTAAAATGCAAGTGACCCTTGTATCTGAAAACCAAAAGGTCACCACATTCTAAACAATGATCTACCACAAATGTTGGCCATCCATGACAGAAGAAAAGATCATTGTTTTGCTTAATTAATTGAACTCGCCAAGTATTTCCACTAGGACCAGTTAACGAAACTAATCCGCACGTCCTGCCCTCCATGTGACAGATGAATCCATCAGGAATTTTCTGCATCAAAAGAATTAACTTTTAAACAGTAAAATTCCAATAAGCATTTTATGATAAGATTAGCCAAAATAACCATTTCATGACAAGAAGATGAACCGACATCATTCATCTCCCTTTCCATCATTTAGATAGAGCGACACTGGCAACTGAGGAGGATAATCCAAAAGTAAGACTATAAACTAGATTAAAGTACCTATTATTCTTCACATTTTTAAGAACCACATTCAAGAAGAATAATTACAAATCGTGACTTTCTGATAAAGTTTACAACTTTATAACATCCAGGAACACTGACATAGTTTTCCCAGCTTCATTTGAAGAACATATTTTTCATCAACAAAAAACACACTTGAATTCGTTATCGTTGTAGACAGATGAAATTAGTTATAATGTATAGTATCTCAATAAAGAAAAGGGCACCGTAACTTGTAAAATCAGCAACAACAAATGCTAGCAACAAGTTATTTTAGATATGATTTCACTCATTAAAAAAGATTATTAAAATAGGGTAAGTTATAAATTGGAATTTGAGAACACATGCAGTTAGGTCTACAAAAACAAACTATATATATGTATAGAGAGAGAGAGAGAGAGAGAGAGAGAGAGAGGAGAAGTTGAGGAATTACCAGTTTTTCAGAGGTGGAGGTGGAGGAATAAACCTCATAGAAGTGAGGCCTTCTTACATTTAACTTTCCCTCACAGTCACAGGCCATTAATCAAACCCTCTCTTTCTTTCTTTCTTAATATTTTATTTTTTTTTCCTTTTACCGTTTTGATTCTCAAACAATAAAATTTGAGTAATGTATTCTCACTTCTCAACATCAACAACCGCACAGCATCTGAAAATCTTCTTCTTCTTTTTTCTTTTTTTTCTATTCTGAAAAATTACTACATCTTGATCATCGACTCATCGCATATCTTGCTACAGAGAAATGTGAACAATTGAAGGAAATTAAAAAAAAAATAAAAAAATAAAATAAAGAGAAAGGTGAGAAATGGGGGAACCTTAGGTTTCAGTAGTTTCGTGCAGGAACCCTTACCGGGTAGTGTAAGAGCTGGTTTGGCCAAATTATGGTCATTTTTTTCTCTTTCATTTTCATTTACAATTTGGGTCTCGTTTTGTGCTTCTCCATCAAATTTACCATTATGTAATGTAATGTAGGCGCGTGTTCTTTACGTCACGAAAAAACGACGCCGTCTGTATGTGTTGCGGAATCATGCACCACGAAGCGCGTGAGACCTGGATTCACAATGCCACTTGTTGCCGGAAAGTGAAGATTGGTGATCTGCGTTTAACCAGTAATACTGCTGTGGTAGGTTCCCGCATTGCAAATCCCTTTGCTTTGGTAACATAATCGGGAAAAGAGAGAAGGGGTAGTATCATAATATGATTAGTTACTGACTAAACATGTTTATAGGTTGTATGGATTATGACAAAATTATATCTCTTAAAAATTTTCTTAGATATATCAATTATTAAAATGAATGTTTATGTTATAAAAAAAAAAAAAAATGAATGTTTATAGTATGTACCAACTACACAAACCTTTATCTTGAGATGGAACTGAATTTTTTTTAAAGAAAAAACATAGTTCATCTGAGAGGGTGTTTGGTAGAGGAGAATTTTTTTTTATCCAGAAATCATGATCCCGAAAATATGATAGAAAAGTGAGCTTTCCGGAAATGTTATAAAAAAGTTGTTTGGTAAGTCAAAATATTAGATAAAAATTACTAATTCTATGTTTGATTGATTATGAAATATTAATCGGAAAATGAGGTTATTTTACAAAATTAATCCCTTTTGTATTTTTACTTTTGCACGATTTACCATCTGAGTTTGGTATATCCATCTTCGTTGAAAAAACATTTTTTTTTTCGTCCTGGGTTTTCTTCAGTATCTCTCCCAACACTTCATACGCTGCCTCTGGTTCAGGTCTCACAAGCAGGATTCACTTCAAACGTTGTCTCTATCATAACACTTGGTTGTGTTTCGGATGAAAAAGAGTTTTTTTGAGATGAGATGGAACAAGATAGTACAGTTGCCATCACTATTCATTGTTCATCGACAACATGAACTTAATAAATGGATACATGACATCCTATATGAAAAATCAGAGAGACCCCGTGTTTATTAAAGTCAAAATCAGCATTTTACCTATTTTCTCATTTCAACTTAATCTGTGCTTCTCGGAGCAGAAATTATTCCTTGTGCCTCTCTTGATTAGAGATCACCGGTCATTTAAACGAACGGAGAAGATGCGGTGGCATGGTTTTCTCGGCACAGTGACAATTCTCTTGTGAAGAAGAGAGGCACTATTTTTTATCGTGAAGAAAATACTCCAGCTTAGGGAATGAAAAATGGAAGGGCAAAAATGTCCCAAAATTTACGTTTAATTTTCCAAACAACCCAGATTTTGGGAATACCACACATTTTGTGGTATTCTTAAATGATATTTTGGTTAATAATTTGCACATAAATCAAAATCCTGGGTATATTGATTCCTTGAAAAAAAATTGAATTTCTTGTGCCAAACATGGGTATACTAAAATCCCAACATCACTTTTTCAGGATTCTAATAAAAGTTCATCTACCAAACAGCCCGTAAGGATATTATTGAAAATTTAAGTGTAGGGAGTCCACGTTTATTAAAAATGGAACTAAGTGGTTATCATATTAGTTTGAATACTCATATACTCATTGTTTTAAGGTTTTGTATAATAATCCCAATGATTAAATTGCACTAATTAGGAATTAGGGTGGAATAAAATGAAAAATCTAAATTTGGAACTAAGTCATTTTTTGGGATAATAGTACAAATATTAAAAGTTTTGGGGCAAAAGTACAACTATGCAAAATTTGGTAAGACCCTAAAATAAATTAATTGTCATACATCTTACCTAAACTCAAATAGCCCAACAATCATGAAGTTAGGTGGCTTAAGTGGGTGTTAAAGAGTGAGAAGAGATCAAGGGACAAAATAGACTTTTCCCTTGCAAAGATATTTTGAAAATCAAACGGTGTGCTCCACTTTCTCAACAAAAATTTCATCTATTTTCCATCTCCATATTCGACCTAGTGAGGAAGATAGAAGAGACCACAAAACTCCATCTCATTCCTTCTTCCTTTGAGTGACCAAGAGGGAGAGCAAGGAACACCTATCTATATGTTCATTTCCTCACCAACCACTATGGAGAAACCCATTCTTTCCCACCATGTGTAATGTGTGCCTAGAGCTTGGTTTGAAAAAGGGGAGTTTTCCACTATTGGAGATTAGGAACCTTACTATCTCTCTTTGTTTTGGAGCTTTTGTGGTAATAAAGCTTACTTTCCTTAATTTATTGATGGTTTTATGTTGTTAAGGTTTCATGAAATAGGGGAAAATGTGATAGTTTGGTTAAATGATGAAATTGATGCTAAGTGTATGTGTATTATAGAGTAGGAGTGTTGATTATAGTGGAAATTTGGTGGGAACTCCACAATTGGACCCATTATTGGATTAAGGATTTTCTTGAGTTTGAAGAATTGGGGTAAGTTCTCAATTTCATGTTTATGGAAGTGAGATAGTATAAATTGGTTGTGATGTATGTATTACAAGTAATCTTGATTGGGTTTATGCCATAAAATAAGTTATTGAAGGGGATTTGAGCTTATTGGCTTTGGAACCTAAAGATTAAAAGCTTTAATCTCCAAATAAACTCTTGGGCCTTGGGATTAAATTCACTTGGTGTTCCATTATACTCCTTGAGAGTGTTGGTTAATTGCTTGATTGAGTGGTTGTTGTTGCAGCTATGGTGTAGTTGCATTCATGTAGTGTTGGTCTGCAATTGATTGCTTGATATGATACACTTGATGTTTTAGCCATTATATTTTGAATTAATTGAGTATGTTCATTGATCAATAAAATATGTGTGTACTTCCCTTTGGGAATATTTCTTAAGAGGTACAACTCTTGAAGCTCCACACAAACACTCACTTTGAGGTACAACTCAATGGAGTGGTCCTAGTGCACTGGGTGCATAAGTGTAGTCAATTAATTATTACCTATATTTATATAATGATATTATGCTATGTGCTCTGACCTTTCTTGCAGGAGCAGGAAAATGAACTCAACGGTGGAGTGATCTTCCAAGGATCCTGAGTTTACTAAGATCATTATCTCACCCGGTTTGAGGATTATGTTTCAGGTACACCGGGGGGAGGAGCTAGTACTTCCAAGGGACAGGACCATATGTAGTTCATGAGAATTCCCCTTTTGGCTTAGAATGTTTTGGGAAGGATACCATGCTAAGACCATATTTAGATATATAATTGGATATTGGCATGTATTGGATTGTATATGTGGTCTAACTTATATATTGTGAACGAGGAGTCAAGTCATTGATGTTTTGAGTATACACATGTTAAGGTCATGTTTTGTAAAGAATTTGATGGCTTGAAGCCAAAAATATTAGCTTGTATAATGATCATTATGATGAATTCTTGGATGAACTCTTTAGGATATGCATATTGATGATTAATTATATATCTATAGTTGATAGCATGATCAATTAGGTGGTATGGGTTGAATTATTGATCAAGGATGAGGCCTAGGGCACCAAAAATGAAACCCTATGTTTCTGCCCTAGTGCGTTAACACATGCTATATGGGCGTTTTAACACACTATAACAGGGGAACCTCTTGATCTTCAACCTCAGCACGTTAAAAAATGTGTTGCAGAGGGGGACATTTTATGTGCCAGGCTTCAGATGGAGCGTATTATAACAGGGGAGCCTCTTGATCTTCAACCTCAGCACGTTAAAAAATGTGTTGCAGAGGGGGACATTTTATGTGCCAGGCTTCAGATGGAGCGCATTAAAATGCGTAGGGAGGGTGTTTTAATGCGCTATCCAAGGGAAAGAATACATGTTTTGCGCGTTAAAATGTGCAAGAGGGCATTTTAACAAGCTGAAACGGTATTGATCCCCAATCTTTTACACATTCAATCGTGTTAGTGCTACTTGGTTTGAGGTTGTAAGCTTGTGTAAGACCTTTCTACTTAGAATAATCCTTATAACTAATGATTTAGATGTTAATGAGAGAGAAATTAATTTATTGTGTAGAAATAAAAGGTTTATTCACATTTCACCATAACAATCGTTTATTTCACAATCTTATACATTATGGATTTGTTGTAGTCCTAATTAAGTGATTAGAAATTAATTCTAGCTGTGTTTAATACCTCAATTGAGTTAATAGACCAAGTGCGCACGGAGTGTTACATTTTGCATTAAAATTGTCCAATTTATTTATTATTATTTTTTGCTTAGCACATTAATGATTGTTTTTCTTACCATGAACTCTCATTGCACACCTAGCAACGATATCAATGATTTAGCTAGGTCAACCAAGTTTTTGTATAAGGAAGTATTTGAATACTTGGAGAGCAGCGATGCTTCTGCTTGAGGGAGAGCATACTCATGCCGATTATCACACTTGAGGGAGAGATTTTTGGAAATTCAACTAAGTGGGTGTCCCATGTTGATTATGACTGGCCTAAGCAAGTATTATTGTAACGTTTATGCAAAATGGGGAGAAATTGGTCAATGTGTTAGGTATGCTAGCCAATAACTAAAGTTGTGGCCTTCAAAATGGACTTCTTGATTCTATGAGATATGCATAGCTTGGGAAAAGCTATAGGAATGTGTAGAAGCTTTGCTTATAAATAAGCAATGGTTTGGGAGAAATAGTACAAGAAATGTGGGAGTGAAGAACCACTTAAGCATAAGGTGGAGGTAGAGAGAAATAAAGATATCAAATTAGGGGAATGCACTTATCTTGTTTCAAATCCTCCAACATGTCAGTGATTTATTCTACTAGTTGTTAGCCGTGGACTTTCATTTCGTCGATCTTTGATATCAGTGAGTAAATAGTGGGGACTATAACAAGTCTAAATTATATTTAATTTTATTATTTATTTCATATTTAATTTATTATTTCTATTCTTATTATGATTTCATTCATTACTTGAAACAAGATGATTTGGTAAATGAAAAGGGTGAAGTATTTAAAATCTAAGTGTTTTTAAGGGACGAGGTGACATAAAACGGAGTTTTGTTGTTTACTCGATTT